AAGACGGCCTGCTACGATATCGACGTGGAGGTAGATGACCCACTGAAGGCCCAGATGAGCAATTTCCTGGCCTCCACCACCAATCAGCAGGAGATAGCCTCTCTGGATGTCAAGGTGGGCCCAGGAAAGGGTGGGCCGGCTCTGCCGGGCGTCAGCACACATCACCCTGGGAGTGGCACTGCAGGTGCAGTCTGACACGGGCCCCTCCCCAGATCCACGAAACGATCGAGTCCATCAACCAGCTGAAGACCCAGAGGGACTTCATGCTCAGCTTCAGCACCGACCCGCAGGACTTCATCCAGGAGTGGCTGCGGTCCCAGCGCCGGGACCTCAAGGTGCGCTGCCTTGCTTGAGGGACCCCCCCCTGCAACTCTGCCCCCAAACACTGTCCTCCCAGCCCAGGGCAGACGGGCCGGGCAGGGCGTCCCGCCACTGCTCTGCTCCTGCCCTTCAGATCATCACGGACGTGAGCGGGAACCCCGAGGAGGAGCGGCGGGCTGCCTTCTACCACCAGCCCTGGGCCCAGGAAGCCGTGGGGAGGCACATCTTTGCCAAGGTGAGGCCTGTCCTGCTGGTCCTCCCGGCCAGGGGTGGCAGGCGCGAGCGGCCGGCCCTCGTGGCCGTGGCAGCAGGGCCTGAGCAGCTGGTCTCTCCTGCAGGTGCAGCAGCGAAGGCAGGAGCTGGAGCAGGTGCTGGGGATCCGCCTAACCTGACTGCTCGGGTCCTCTTCCCTCTGGGCACGCAGCCTGGAGGGGCCACCCTCTGGTCCCGGCTGGGGCCGCAGATGCACGGGATGGGGATGGGGTGAGGTGCCTGTGGCCACCCTCTGCCCTGGCTTAGTTTTGCAAGCGTAGTGATAGGATTCTTGTTGCTTGGTCCCTGAAGCCTTATTACTTGTGTTCTGGGTTGGCTTTAGCTGGGTTTTCAGCAGGCACCTCCTTCACCCCCTGCAGGCAGGCCCAGGTCGGGCGGCTGGAGGCTGGCTCTGCTGTTGCTTGTGCTGAGACACTTCCATTTTGGAACCAAAGGCCGCTGGGTTTGCATGTTTACAGACTCCCCTGGGGCGAGCACCAGAGCCATCTCTGGGGAGCTGGGTTGGGCCGAGAAGGCACAGCCCAGACTCTCCTAGCCTTTCTAAACCAAAGTTCTTCTCCATTCCTGCAGCCCAGCCTTGCTGCTGGCTTCCTTTTCCTGTGGGTATTTGCACTATTTGGGGAGCAAGTTTTTCTATGCGGGAGCTACTCTTTGTACAGGGGTGAGCCGGGGTTTCCAGGGAGCCCCGGCTGGCGCCTCCTTCCTTATTTCCTTCCCTGGTCTATGCAAGCGGCTCTGCCGTCATCGCCTCCTGGGATGGAGGGGGCTGCCTCGCAACTGCGGGGCCGGGGGGGCACTCCAGCTCCTAGTGGGGTCTGAGGCGTGGGTGCGTGTGTGGTGCAGGGCTGGGGAGGTGGCCCAGCGGGCTGGGGGACCGGTGCTGCCCTTCAGAGCCTGGTGAGGAGGGTGGGCCTGGGGCATGGCAAGGGCCACTTCTGGCAGGTTTGGGAATTTCCAAATAAACCCTTTTGTTTACTGGTGGTGCCTAATCCTGGTCACTGGGCAGCAGGGCCACTCACGAGCAGACCACATTCCCAGAGGGTGCGTCCCACAGAGCTTTATTGGAGGACCCACACAAGGGCGTCCACTCACTTCCACAGCTTCTTGATAGACATGTTTTTCTCGCTGTCCTTCTGCATGACCTGGAAGAAGAGGACGAGATGCAGGGATGAGGGGGGTGGCGACACCCGAGACCACCGCTCCAGAGCCCCTGCTGGCACACACAGCACCACAGAGGCACGTACCTTGGCTACTGCCATCTCAAAGTCCTCCTGGGTGACATGGACTCGCCGCTCCCGCAGGGCATACATGCCAGCCTCTGTGCATACACCCTGGGCAGGAAGAACACAGGGGTCACTCACGGTGTCCCCTCAGCCCAGAGCTGCCTGCCCCGGCCCCAGTGGGTCCCAGATACCTTCACTTCAGCCCCTGAAGCCCCTGGCATGAGCTCCGCAATCTTCCTCAGGTTGATCCCCCGGGTCAGGTTCATTTTCCGAGAGTGGATCTTCAGGATGTCCAGCCGGGCCTGGAGGCGGCAAAGGGTGGGGCTGAGCTGCTGGCCCTGCTGCCGCCGCAGGCCTGGGAGCACCGCCCGGCACCCACCTCCTCGTTGGGGGGCGGGAACTCGATCTTTCTGTCGATGCGCCCGGGGCGGAGCAGCGCCGAGTCCAGGATGTCAATTCTGTTGGTGGCCATGATCACCTGCAAGGAGAACCGGGTCACCCAGTCCCATCCGCCTCCTGCCCCTGGCTTCCCGGGCTCACCTGGGGCCATCCCCCACCTTGATGTTCTTGGTGGCCTCGAAGCCATCCAGCTGGTTGAGCAGCTCCAGCATTGTGCGCTGCACCTCACTGTCCCCGCCGGAGCCCCCCTCCAGCCGCGAGGAGCCAATGGAGTCGATCTCGTCCATGAAGATGATGGACGGCGCGTGCTCTCGGGCCATGACGAACAGCTCCCTCACCATTCTTGCCCCTGTGTGGAGGCCGAGCTGGCGTGAGGGCCCCTGGGAGACCCCTGCCCCTGTGGTCCTGGCTATAGTTACCTTCCCCAATGAACTTCTGGACCAACTCAGAGCCAGAGACCCGAATAAAGGTACAGTCCGTGTGATGTGCCACAGCTCGGGCCAGGAGCGTCTTCCCGGTGCCGGGGGGTCCGTACAGTAGCACGCCCTGGAGGGAAAGAGTGCCCACCCTCGCTTCAGCAGTGAGCTCCGAGTGTGAGCTGTGCTAGATCTGCCAGATACTGGGGACACTGACGTCAGGGTTGCTTCTGAAGCTCACGTCCAATCCCGCTCAGTGGCCCCGAAACGTGTCCTTAAGCCCGAGGGGGTGTGGCCCACCCCAAGCCCTGCTAGCCTGCACTCGGGCCTGGGCAGGAGGGGCGAGCCTGGCCTGGCCTGCCCGGCCAGAGAAGCCCCACACCTCACCTTGGGCTGTGCGATGCCCAGGGCTTCGAAGAGCTCAGGGTGCTTGACAGGCAGCTCGATCACTTCTTTGATCTCCTTGATCTGCTTGTCCAGCCCCCCGATCATCTCGTAAGTCGAGTCGGGCACCTTCTCCACCATCATCAGGGATACCAGGGGGTCCACCTTGTTGGGCAGGATCTTGTGCAGAGTGTAGCTGTCGTTCCTTAGAGCCACCCGGCAGTTGGGTGTCACCTGGGTGAAGGGCGCGTTTCAGGAAGTGGTATGAGAGGCTGAGCCCCCAACACCCTCCACTCCACTCACGTCATTGATGTCGATGTTTTTGTCCACGTCCACCACAAACTTGCCCTCAGGGTGCACCTGCAGGAACAACGGCTCATGACCTCCCAGCAGCCCCTGCATCACTACTCCCCTGGAAGACCCGTCACACTCGCAGAACACAGCAGGACACAGAACATCACCCCCGAGGCTGCGCGTCACGGTGGGAAGGACGGGCCCATGCTGCCTGTACCTTGACCAGCACTTTCTTCTTATCCATGGCCCGAACGACTTCCCCCACGTAGGAACCCTGCTCCTGCAGCAGCTGCAGCTCCTCCCGCAACAGGCGAACTGGACAGACACACACGGTGGTCACCTGGCCTCTCCTCTGGGCCCCCTTCCCAGGACTCAGCCAACACACAGGACTGAGCACTCTCTTGAAAATCGGAAGGGAAAACAGACACACACACACCCCACCGCTTGTGTCTCCGAGGGGATTGCCAGGGCCATGAGAGAGGTGTGCACGTGAACAAGCCCGCACAACAGCGGGACGCATCGCCTGGGACCGCGAGAGGCGACGAGCATGGCTGTGAAGACAGAGTGAGGAGGGCAGGACAGGCGGGCCCCACGAAACCCCTCACCTTTTGCATTCAGCTCATTTCTCTGAGCCTGCAGCCTCCGGAGGTTTTGGCTCTTATCGTTCACAATCAGCTGTGGAGGGCAAGGGACGGATTGCTACCCAAGGGCAGACTGCAGGGGGCTGGCTCTGGGCCAGGACCTCCCGCCGGTGTGAGCTGAGGCAAGGGCACAAATGACCTCTCCTGTCCGCCAAGCACCTCTGGAGTCTGGGGCAGCTGTCACGAAAGGCTGCCTGTCCAGCCTGGGAATAAGAGGGCCTAACAGAAGTGTACGGCTGGCTCGAGTGATGGTGACTGTCTTGTGGGAAGCCAACTTCGAACCCTGGAAGGACCTGCAGGTCAAAGCCTGGGTTCTAGGCCAGCCGCTTAAAAGCGAGGTAAAAGCCGGGCTCGGTGGCGCAGCCTGTGATCCCGCGCCTTGGGAGGCTGAGGTGAGTGGACGGCCTGAGCGCGCGGGTTCGAGACCCGCCTGGGCACCCTGGCAGACCTCATCTCCACCACGCGCCAAAACTTAGCCGGTGTGGCAGCGCGCGCCTGCAGTCCCGGCCGCTCGGAAGGCGGAGGCGGGAGGATCGCCGCAGCCCAGCAGGTCGTCGCTGGCGTGGCCGCGAGCGTGCCTCTGCACCGCAGCCTGGGCGGCGAGGTGAGACGCCCACTCAAGACGGCAAACAGCAGAGAGCAGCCAGAGCC